ATATATATATATTTTTTTTTTCTTTAAGTAAAAAAAATATTTTTTTGATGCATCCGCTTAACTTGTCATCATGCATGTTTTGTTTTGTTCCTTGGTCAGTTCTAAAGTCTTGCTGAAGGCCCTAACGAGTATTGTACACGAAAACACCTTAGGCTTAAGATAAGATCCAGTTTTGCGTATTTATGTAAGTAATATGAATAGTTGTCAAACAGTCGTCATTAATACGATGTGATATAATTAGTTGTAGCAAAGTCATAACGGAATATGATTGGTTGTGCCAAATTACCCAAGACGTAATATGATTGGTTTTCAATACAGTCATACTGAAATATGATTGGTTGTCACAAGTTGTCATTGTAATACGATTGGTTGTTTCGAACAGTAGTGATGTAACCTGTTGTAAAAAAAAAAAGTGAAGTTTTAGAGCTTTACTTACTGCGTGCTGACAGTAATGTTGGTTAATGGGAAGCTGGATAATCCAATTTTTGAAATAAAAAGTTAAAAAAAAAATCGTCAATATTGTTTCACATAATTCAAACTTTTTTGTTTCAAATATTTCCTTTTCTTGGCACTTTGCTTACTATTTATGATATCCAGCCCCCAGGTAACATTTAGGTTAACACAGAATAATGATGCCTGTTTTTAAAAACCCAACTTCAGCAGAAGGTCACACACAGCAACGCCAGCAGGAGGCTCGGGGCACTTTTAGTGATGACTCTCGCGGCGGAAGTTTCGCAGGTTGTCATGTCAACAGTTTCCATCACGTGCAGAAACTCTTCTCCCAAAACGTCTCGATAACGTACATAATCAGGCAATGGCTCCAGCCTCGTCGCAGAGTCTGAAAACAGCAAGTCTGAGGTGTTCTGGTAGCTTCCAAACATTCGAAACGTGGACGCCTCGGGTCCAAACACGTGACCAGCATTCACCAATAGCTCGACAGCATTCGCTCTCTCCTTCTCGGACACGGCGTTTGACATCATAACCTAATGACAAGAAGAATATGGCGAAGCTTTACTATAATTAATCTATAAACTAATTAATACACAGTTGATTAGACTCTAATATAAGTACTTATATACTGTACCAGTCACTAAATTTAACAAATCTGTTATTCGATACCCTGGGTGAAACTTACGTGCTTTGCAGGAATAGCCACCAAGTGACAAAATTTGTAATCTTCAATTCGGGCTTGACCACCATTGGGACAGAGGAGTTGTAAATCCTCTGTCCGCAGCTGACTGACCTTTTCACCCCTGACTTCATTATTATAAAACTTTTCTAGCATTTCGTGATTTAAAAATGCTACGTCTCCCCTTCCTTCGACTAAACATCGAAAAGCACCATCGTTGCCATAGTAACGTTCTTCTTCGTTTGGTGCGCAGACATGCTGGCCATCTTGGTTTCCCTTACATAGACGACACAGTACATCAGCGCCAGTAGCGTTAGCGTTTAACTTACGATCTGCTGCACCGGGAACGCAACTTGCCGAGAAAAACTCGGCTATAGAGGACGTCGCGTCGCAAATGTGTGACGTCACAAGCCTGGCGTCCATCAGCCGGGATACTGGAGCAGCCCAACCAGATGTGTCCATCATTTCTTTATGGCACGACTGTCTTCCTGTTAGGAGAAGAAAAAAAAAAACAACACACAATAATTCTTATCGCTCGTTTGAATGGATAAACCTTTTGTGACGTCATACTTTAAAACGTTTAATCCTTTTGTGACGTCATACTTTAAAACGTTCAATCATATAATCTCGTTATTGAAGTTAATTTATGTTACATATACGACAAATGACTGTATCTGTATCTCGTATAATGACAAAAATTACCAGATAGATAGTCTGGCTGAACCTTATTAAGTTCTTTAAAAAAAAACGATTTTTTTTCAATCTTAACAACTGTGCCCCTTCCCCCCGTGACTCTGTGGTAAGTCTGGGAGTTTATAGTGCTAAAAATCGTGGTTTGATACCCGTGGTGGGCAGAACACAGATAGCCCATTGGGTAACTTCGTGCATCACAACAACAACAACAAACGCAGGTGTAATACTACCCACGATGAACCAACTTTTGCACGGTAAGGTTTCTCTTCAAGCACACTGGATTACCATTACTCACCAAGGGAATTACAGACAATATTCTAAACTATGAACCAGAGTCAGTTACAAGAGTTCCTAATAACACGTGATCGAAACAAAGAAATGACAACAGAAACACCGTCATCACTTAATTCCACTAGCTACTGCTAGGACCCCCCCCTCCTCCAACCTCCCTATGTATTTCACATAGAAAATGAGTGATTTTACTCCTTTTGGGGGGGGGGGGATTTCTTACATTGTGTGTACTGTAACAGACAGGAACATAAATTTAATCAACACAGTGGAACACGTGGACCTCGTCTGTAACTTAAGGGTTAACATGATACGTGGGGCGTGTCAAAAGTCTGCTTTTGTCCTGTTATTAAGTACAAAGCTAAACAATGGACTGTCTGTGCTGTGCTTACCACGGGTATCGAAACCCGAATTTTGGTGTTATAAGCCTTCAGACTTACCGCTGAGTCACTGGGGGGCTATCAAAAGTTATAGTTATTAAGTAAAACCTAAAACATCCAAATTAAAAATACGTGTTTTAAAAGAGTTCATCGTTGTAACTGCTCTAATGAGTAGAATACACGTTTTGAGACGGCTTGACTGGGTAAAGAAAAAAAACAACTTTATTATTCCAGAAGTTTCTGTCATCCTCAGGTACAAGTAGTTTACAGAGAACAAAGAGGTCACATGACCGGATATTGCTTCACAGTCTAATATATATATATATCTTTGTGCCCTGGGGAAGGGGGGGGGGCTGTTTTCCATTCTTTTATTTTGCGTTTATTGATGCTAGGTTCTTTGTTTAAAATGACAGTGTTTTGTACTCTGGTTTTTCTGAGATACAACGGTGGTAAAATCTCGTCAAAACGTCGTACATTTATTTATAATAAAAGTGGAATCGTCGTTATCAACTTTTAATAGAATATCCATACATTACCTTTTAATTCACTGAGTCTTTTAATGTTTGATCCTCTTCGAACGACCGCCACAGCCCATGAAGAAATATCACTATCGTTGTACCTTTCGCCCACGACGGGCTTGAGTCCGTAGTACCTAAAGTATCAACAGGAAAACAGGACTTGTCAGATACGAATTTACACGTTGATTTTTTTTCTAATTAAAAAACCTGGTAAAAGAATAGTCTCTCGTCATCACATAGTGTAGATATGACAAGGTTTTTATTAACATAAATACACAAGGAATCGAGAAAAGTCACCCATACAACAAACAATATTTTTAACCTTATGTTATCGAACAAATACCCAAGGATCTAAAAAAAAAAGGGTTAGCTCTCTAAATCATCTATACAACAAATATTTTAAATTTTATGTTGTAGAACAAATACACAAGGAACTGAAACATTAGGGTTAACGTACTAAATCATCTATACAACAAATATTTTAAATTTTATGTTGTAGAACAAATACACAAGGAACTAAAACATTAGGGTTAACTTACTAAATCGAATATACAACAAATATTTTTTTTAATTGCAATGTTATAAAACAAATACACAAGGAACTAAAACATTAGGGTTAACTTACTAAATCGACTATACAACAAATATTTTTTTTAATTTCAATGTTATAAAACAAATACACAAAGGACTAAAACATTAGGGTTAGTTCACTAAATCACCTAGACAACAAACAATATTTTCTTAATCTTATGTTATAGAATATGACGTGGTTGGTGACACTTTTACGTTAGGGCCATTAAAACTGAATTGCAATATTTTGTTTGAACAAGGAAAATTGATGAAAACACCACTTTTGGTATAGTTAAATATCATTCAACAGGTTTGAGGAAGCTACCTATAAATATTATACTATCTATAAATTTACCTGCCTGCACGGTAGATGTCGCCACTATCCAAAATTATTACATCAGCGTCACGTGACTTTACTGCTTCCATACAATCAGCTTCAGAAACCTGATTGATGCATCGTATTTCAGGTTTCAGTCTCCAGGCGAGAGCTGCTTTTCCAAAATCCTTACATTTCTTGTAGGCAACCGAGGAAGTGACACAGATCCTTACCGCATTTTCTTCGCACCCACGATTTTCTTTTTCAATGGTATTTAGAAAATTTGAACCTGTTGGAAAGAATTTCACTTTACGCAATAAGAAAACCCTAACGTAACAACTTAGTAAAATTATGTTATACTTAAAATTAAATTCGGAGCTTATAATCGAGTTATAAACACTGAATCCGGATTTATGGTTCGCGTCCTCTTGCCCACAAAACACGTTCCGCACTTTGGAGACATGGGTGTGCTATAAGAGTGGCGATTAAATTCTACTATTCGATCAGAGAACATAAGGGTTGGCGGTGGGTGCTATTCTTTAATTAGTCGTCTTCCTTCTAGTTCAAATTAGGAACGGCGACGCGAAGATAGCCCTTTATATAGCTTCGCTCAAAAATCACGAAACAAATAACAAATTTGTCGGTTACTTTTCCAGAGGATTTGTGTCATCGGATAACCTTGATATTCTACATCTGACTGAAGGTCACAATGTAATTGTTCTGATGGATTTGGTAGGTACGTTTCTAACCCAAGTATAATTCGTGGAACTCTGTGTGACTCATGTTATTACAGCCTGAATACAACCGTTGTAGGAAACGAAACGTATTAGATTAACCAATGAACACGGAACTCTGTGTGACTCGGGTTATTACAGCTTGAACACAACTGTTGTAAGAAGCGAAACGTATAAGATCAACCAATGAACACGGAACCCTGTGTGACTCATGTTATTATAGCTTGAACACAACTGTTGTAAGAAGCGAAACGTATAAGATCAACCAATGAACACGGAACCCTGTGTGACTCATGTTATTATAGCTTGAACACAACTGTTGTAAGAAGCGAAACGTATAAGATCAACCAATGAACACGGAACCCTGTGTGATTCATGTTACTACAGCCTAAACAGAACCGTTGTAGAAAGCGAAACGGAATTCTTGCGGGTTATTAGTTTCGATTCTTCTTAATGTGATAGATTACTTGTTTAGTACTTTCCAGAAACTTCCAACTTATATAAGTATAACGTTTCTTTGTTGTTGTTGTTTTAATGGAAGGATATGAAATTGAATTAAATAAATGTTACGTATATCATTTACTGGTCGTTTTTGTAATAAAAGTAAACTTTCCTTGTGTTCTGCAGATGGCGGTGCAGAGAGAAAAAAATTAGTTAAAATAACACAAAATTTGATATTTTGAAACTTTCATTCCAGAGTGGCACCTTATGTAACACATTGGTTAAATGTTTAGGTCAGGGTTCAGGCATAGCTATCCCTAGTTTTCTATTGCTGAACATATGAAGGACAACTCCAACCTACAAGACTATTCTTAACTGAATAGCAGAACTGACTGTCACTTTTATAATGCACCCACAGCTGAAAGTGCGTATATATATATATATAGCGTGTTCACTGACATATCGCGGTTCGAGCCTTTGACTTGGCTATCCGCAGCCCAACAAGCTCAGCACTAAGTCACGACTGGTCGAAAAAACAAACAAACAAACTAATACTTACCTAAATAATCATTCCACGTGGCCATTGTTGAAGGAACGGGAACAATGTTGGTCACATTTTCACTGGACACAAACGCCTCGTGCCCCCAAGGTGGTCTTCGGAGGATCGTATAACGAGTAAAGATCTGCTGGAGGATTCGAACTAAGCGATTTTTTTCTCCGTCTAAGAAAAACAACAACATCAGAATATTTGTAATGCGTCAGGTTGGATATGAAAACACGGAACTGTGGATTGCTAAGTTGAACATTTTAGTTAGTTAATGACGTATCTTCTAAACCAATGTATTGGAAAAATGAAATATGTAAGTACACCTTGTTACATGTGAACACAAAAACAAGTGTTAATACTGAACAAGAACTTGCGACACTAAAACCTAAGTTTGGATCACCCTTAGTGGACACAGTGCAGATAGCCGATTGTATAGCTTGGCGCAAAAAACAAACAAAAGATTGTTAACTGAGCATATAGCTTCCTAAAACTACCCAGCAGTTCTAAGTGTACACAAAAAATTTCAGGCTGCAAAAACAGACTGATAGATTAGGCTTAAAAAAACAAAACAATAACAGCTCTTTTCTTCAATTACATTTGTCATCAGATATTAGGCCTATTTTATTTTGTAAATTCTTATCACCAGACATTAATATTAGGCCTATTTTATTTTCTAAATTCTTATCATCAGACATTAAGATTAGGCCTATTTTATTTTCTAAATTCTTATCATCAGACATTAATATTAGGCCTATTTTATTTTCTAAATTCTTATCATCAGACATTAATATTAGGCCTATTTTATTTTATAAATTCTTATCATCAGACTTTAATATTAGGCCTATTTTATTTTATAAATTCTTATCATCAGACTTTAATATTAGGCCTATTTTATTTTCTAAATTCTTATCATCTGACATTAATATTAGGCCTATTTTTATTTTTAACACTACATTCATTATCTAGTCCCTTAGAGATTTTAAAGAATTAGAAGAGTGTATAATATAATTCCAACCACACTTTATTGCCATGTCCATTAAATGACTTCAGTGTTAGGAAATATAATACGTCTAACACTAATGCCTAATGATAAGAATTTAGAAAACATAACAGGCCTGATATTAATGTCTGATGACGCCATAACAATAGTTATTTTTCATTTACTGCTTTTATCGACGAAAGTCAGTGAGGATTAAATAAACTTGTCAAATTTACATTCTCAAATTCTAGTGGAGTTCAGTAATTCGAATTACACAGGAGTTACAGTTACGTTAATAAGTCAGGTTTGATAGATTCTTATAATCTGACGATTATTTAAAGCAAAATTGCTTGCTATAATTCATTAATCATCAGTTATTGTTTCTCTGTTGGTCACGAAATAAAATATTCTAATGTTTACTTGGCCACATGTTGATGTCTAACCCTTGGTGTTGACCAATAGGTAGTGTTATTACTATAGTCCTTGTACTGTTTCGACAGTCAACAGAATCATTGTGCAGTTCAGGAATCAACTGAGCAGCGTCCTGGTCCATCGGAGAGGACAAAAAGGACTGTCAAGAGGATCATCGAAATGGATCCCAAATTAATGACTGCAGAAGTGGCCAAACTTGGTGTGATGAGCCCGAAATCTGTTCAACGGATTCTCCACAGATTGGGT